AGAAAACAATTCTATTTACAATAATTACCCCCCCAAAAGTAAGATGTTTAGGAATACATTTAACCAAGGAAGGAAAAGATCTGTACAAGAAAACCACAAAACATCAAAGAAATAAGTTTAAAAGGACACAAATTATTGGAAACATACCACATGCTCATGGACCGTGAGAATTAACATTATTAAAGTGTCCACACTACCCAAAGCTATCTACAGATTCAGAGCAATCCCTATCAAAAAATCAATGACATCCTTCAAAGAAATAGAAAAGACAACACTAAAATTCATACTGATGGAACCACAAAAGATTCTGAATAGCCAAAGCAATCTTGGGCAAAAAGCGGATTCAAAATATATGACAAAGGGCAGCAACCTGGATGGAACTAGAGTCTATAATACTGAGTGACCTCTCACAGAAACAAAGATCCGAGTATCACATGTTCTCACTCATATAATGGACCTTGAACATGCAATGTAATACTATAAGAAAATGACTGACGGTACTGGGAAACTATGGGGGGGGGGGGGATGGGATTAACAGTAGCAAATATCTGTCTGGTGATGGGAAAACACCTCTTATCAACAGGGTGCCTGAATGAAACGTAATTGTACACCTAACCCTTAACTGTACCCCACAAAACCATAATAAAAAATATCGATTAATTAAAAAATATATATATGTATGACAAAGGTATAGTAGCCAAACTGCATGATACTGGCATAAAAACAGACACATAGATCAAGGGAACAAAACAGAGAACCCAGAGGTAAATCCACATGTTTATTTATAGCCAATTGACTTCTGACAAGAGAGTCAAGATACACGTTGGGGAAGGACAGTCCCTCCAATACATGGTGCTGGGAAAATTGGATATCCACGTGCAGGAAAATAATACTAGACCCTGTCTCTCACCATATATAGAAACCAAATCAAGATAAAGACTTAAATGTAAGGCCCAAAACTATAAAACTACTAGAAGAAAACACAGGAAAGATGTTTCCTGAAATTGGTGTGGGCAAGGTTATTTTGGATGGAACCTCAAAAGCATAGGCAATAAAAGTCAAAATAGACAAATGAAGTTTTACCAAACTAAAAATTTCTGCACAGCAAAGAAAATGTTTGAAAACTGTGAATCCAAAAGTGTTAATATCTAAACTATTAAGGAACTCAAGCAACTCGATAGCAGAAAAACAATTATTCAAATTTTAAGAGTATGTTAAAGAGACATCTGCACTTTCATGTTTATTGCTGCATTATTCACAATAGCCAAGATATGGACTCAAACTAGGTGCCCATAAACTGATTAAGGGACTAAAAATGTGATATATATACACAATGGAGTACTATTTGCCGTAAAAAAGAAGGCCAGGAGAGGTGGCTCAAGCCTGTAATCCCAGCACTTTGGGAGGCAGAGGCGAGAGGATTGCCTGAGTCCAGGGATTTGAGACCAGCCTGGGCAACTTGATGAGACCTCGTCTCTACAATAAATCGAAAAATTAGCCCAGTATGGTGGTGCATGCCTGTAGTTTCAGCTACTTGGAAGGCCAAGGCGGAAGAATCACCTGAGCCCAAGAGGTCAAGACTGTGGTGGCCATTAGCGTGCCACTGCACTCCAGCCTGGGTGACAGAGGGAGACTATGACTCAAAAAATAATAATGATGATGATAAATGAAATGCTGACATTTATGACAAAATAGATGAACCTAGAGAACTTTGTATTAAGTGAAATAAACCAAGCTCAGAAGGACGAATACCACGTAATCTACCTCATATGTGTAAGCTAAAAAAATTGATCTCATGGAAGTAGAGTAGAATAGTGGTTACCAGAGGCTGGGGAGACTACAGGGGAGGGAGGGAAAGGTAGGAAGATTTTGGTAGATGGGCACACCATTCGCGTTAGATAGAAGAAGGCAGTTCTGGTGTTCTATTGCATAGTAAACTGACTGTAGGCAATATTTCGAAATAAGCAGAAAGCGTATTTAAAATGCTCTCACGATAAAGAAATGATCAGTGTTTGAGGTGGTAAATGTGTCAATTACCCTGACTTGATTATTACTCAATGTATACATGAATGGAAAATCACACTGTGCCCATAAATGTATACAATTATTATTAGCTAATTAAAGCCAAAATAAAATTTTAAAAGCATAACCATTCAAAACATGGTTATTATAAATAGTTTAAAATTTGGATTTTGACCCTAGAATATATCTCCCTTAGGATGTACAGTCAAATTGTGCTTTAAGTTAATTTCAAATCGTCTCTGTCTCTGGTATGTCACTGACTCAATAAGTGGTTATGATCATTTTCATATCTTGCTTTTAATATTTGGAACTATTTTTTTTACTTTTAATTTTACAAAATGTCTTCATGAAGAAGGGATTCCAGAATGGCAGAGAAATAAGTAGAGCTTATCTTTCCAGAAATCAACGATTTCATTGGACAAAATTTTCAAAATAAGTCGTGTCAGAATTTTGAAAGATGACCAAAATATAAAACAAATTGAGATGTTTACTAAATAGGATAATAATAATAACTACTTGATCCTCAGTAAGAACAGCAAAGGGCTGTGGCAACTTAACATGCAGCTGCTCTCACCTATTCCCCAGCTTGATGTTGAAGTAGACTTAGGATAGTCGTTTTGTTGCCCTCAGAACCAAAGACCCAATTCAGAACTCCACAGAAAGGTCTTATACCCAGAAAGGTTGTAGAAAACAAAAGCAATTGGTGTCAAAAAGTATAGCTGCCAGAGACTTCAAAAATGGCCATGGCGAAGAACAGACCAGGCACAATTTAACAACATTTGGGAAATGAGACAACCATAGAGGACTTGACTAAAGCTCCCATTTACTTCCAGAGGTTTGGAAGACTACACACATACTAAGGAGAGACCAAAGAGGGCCACAGTTATTTACCTATCTTGGTTAAATATAAGAACTTGCATAAAGAGAAAGTATAACCCAAGACAGATTTGTAAACAGTTCATATGGTGAATGTATGTCCTAACCCATGCAGATCCCAGTAAAAGGTGGCAGCCATACTGGCTTAAGGTGCTCAGGCACAACCTCTGACCAATCATTGCCTGCCACTAAACTATGTTGACCCAGGAGTAGCTCCTAGGAAGCCTGGGTTAACATTTTTTAATGGAAGGAAGGGAGGAAGGGGAGGAGACAATTACACATTTAAAAGAAGAGAAAAAACTGAGCAAAACATCAGTTCCTCAATCTGCAGGGCAGTCAGAATCTACATAATCAGTCCAAGCAGGTACTAAACAAAAATAAGGAAAAAAACACATCAAAAGCAAAACAAAAAAACAACTTATTTGAAAAGTCTTAAGCCAGAAACAAAACAATTATACATCAAAGAGTAGATGGACAAATAAAAGTTATTATATCCATACATGAAATGCTATTCAGTAATAAAAAGGAACAAGTTACTGATACACTCAGCGTCATGGATTACTTGCAGCCATATACTAAATAGAAAAAAGCTAATATAAAGAATGCCTAAATTTACTTCCATCTTAATAAAATTATAGAAAAAACAAATTTAAGCTTAAGCAGCATAAAGCAGATCAACCCACAAGAATGCCAGGTTGGCGGTAGGTTTACCTGCAAGTGAGGATGAGGGGTTGTAGAATTCTATATTTTGATTGTGGTTTTGTTCACATGTGCTTGCATATTTGTCAAAATAACCAAAACTACAGCAGAAATTATACATCAATAAGGTTGATTTAAAATTGTTTTAAATAAACAAAAATATAAAAACAGTAAAAATAAAATGGACAAATTGAAGAAGCAAACATCACCACTTCAGGTGGGTGGACACACATGTCATTTGTTTTCTCCCCCATCAGTTTAGAAACTGTATGTGCCTGTCTCATATTCAGGGCTTAATAATTATTAGCTGAATCAGTGAGTGAAACCTAAAGGGGCTAGAGTGTAGCCAAAGCTACCTCAGATGGCACAACTCTGTAAGGGATTTGTCTTCCATATACAGTACATCAGTTGCCCTGACATCACTCCAACACTGAGAACCAACTTCCTTGCTCTTTTCTTTTTAACCATTCTGTGACATAACTTCCTTGTTACCCTTCACACATGGCTTGCACACTGACTCTCTGGTTGTGTTTGGAATAAGCTGAATGGAGTTGGCTCTCTGTACTTAGAAAATAAGTATCTCAAGGTGTCAAGCTGCATTTTTTCCCTTCAAGGTATGAAAAGAAAGTGAAGGAGTTAAAGGAGAAATTTCTCAGTTAAGTAAGAAGTGTTTAAACAAGAAGAAAAGCATCAACGTTTCAAATGCCACCATGACACCTGGAAGGAATATAATGAGGGGAAAAAAAACTACCAACATGACAGGTAATCCAACTAAGATATGGTGTTTTGTTTGCTTTTTCTTTTTCATTGAGTACATATCATATGTGGAAAAGCCATCTTTTTCATAATTGTTGACCCCCAAAAAGCTTAAAAATGGGAAAGGGAAGAAAGTCCCAAGTAGCTGCAATGCAAGGCAGGAAGGAATACATGCCCATAGTAGAGAATAGTTGACGTGCTCTCTGGATTCAGAGGAGGGAAAGACTGCTTTCCACCTATGAGTCAAGAAAAATCGATGGAAAAATTGGCATCATATGTGCAAGTCACATGTGAGGGGTAGCAGAGCAGATAGGTCACAGAATGGTTAAAAAAGAGCGAGAAAGTTGGTCCTCAGGGTTGAGGTGGAATCAAGGCAGCCAATGTACTATATATGGAAGATAAAGAGCTATGCTATCTGAGATAGCCTGAAATGGGTTTCGAAGGTTGAGTACTATTGAACAAAATGGAGATTTTAAGGAAGCCATCCTATACAGAATTACATAAATTAAATTTGTTTATAGTTACAAAAGTGTATTGGACAGAAAGAGAAACAACTTAAATGGAGACTAGGAAGGATGGCATCATTATGTTGTCCTTGGCTCCTGAGCACTGGATCCTCTTACAATGGAGAAGGCACGGGAGGAGTCTCATGAGATGTCCTGATATGAGCTATGAAATAACAGAAATAAGAGAAACCCTGGAAAAGTCAGAGGTAGTCACTGAGGATAAAGTGGAGTGGTCAAGAGAGAAAACCTAAGTGAGGCAAAAAATGAAATATAAAATAAGAAATTGAGAAGAGAGGAGGAAATACAGTGAACTCACCAGTGTTTCTTAAACCATAACACAAGGACTATCAGAAGTACCAGGGGTACCATCACTGCCAAGGCGATCAAGTTCATGAAAAGATGGTGTCCTGTGTATATTGGGGAGATACAGGGATGCCATTTTAAATCCATCACTTATTCTACCCCATCTATTGATTTCCTTACTTAACATGTACCTTGAATATGTCACATTAGTCAGCCTTTTTTAGTCACTCTAACCCCTCCCTACTCAAAGAAGGATACCTCATTTCCCCCAAAATTTCTTGTATCTATGTGTCCCTCATGTCCTATTCCTCCATTCCTTGATTTACCTACATTCATTCATTCCTGAGATCCCTCACCTAGATCTGTACTTAGAAAATCAAGTTTCTTATGCTCTACCCTCTAAGCTCAAAAACCACCTACTCGTACTTCCAACCTCCAATCTTACCCCAGTAGACGATGATGTTCTGGCCTCCTAAGCCGGTGTGCCTCACTTGACATGACAGGCCAACAGCATCCTCTGCCACCACATCCAGGATCACCTGAAGATACCATGTTCCATCAGCATTAGGAAGAATATCACCTTGTTTAGTGTCTCGTTGCTCTGCCTCCATGTTACCCAAATAGGCATTGGGTAGAAACCAGAGACATGGCAAACCAGCAATAGTCGATCAGACCCTGGACAGTCAGACCTCTGGCCTCACTGCAGAGAGCAAAAAAGGTATTTAGATTAGGACACTTACATGCGACTTAGGGGCTCATATATCCACATTAGTATGCCTTCTCTAGGAAGCTATTGCACAACAAGCCCTCTGCTTCTTGTCTTCTTTCTTGTTCTAAGTTGGAGGTGGGGTGAGAAAAGGTAAGATTTGAAAAGAAGAGTCTTAAAGGAAGGGGCCAAACTGATCTTGCCTCTAGAGATCCATCTTTTCTGCATCCAGGAGACTCAGCAGAAACCAGGGCAGATGTTTCTTATGGGCCTATTCGCTGTTTCCTTGATGCCTTCATACTGATTGAGTACATCACAGACATTCTGAGCCCTTCTCCCACCCTCTGGCAATGGCACCCACGTCGTGTTTTGGAAACTTAGGAAATCTGATTCTTCAAAAGCTGCCCAGAGGGAGCTTTGGGGGCTCCCTCCAGAGTGCCGCTCACAGCCTAAACTCACCTGTATTTCAACGGGATCTGGGTAAAGGGGGGAATGAGAAAAACAGTTTAAATGAAAAAATGGGAGCAACAATATGAAAACTCAGGGCCTTATCAGGAAGTGGATCAAGAAGGTTTCATATGGGTGTGAAGATGAGCCAAAGATCTATTTGATCGGGAATGAGAGAGGGGAAAACTTACTGGAGAAGCAGAATGGGGGCAACAGGAGACAAATGCCTTGAATTAACAGGAGATTGACCTAAGAAAAACTTAGGAAAATAATAAGTGAACCACATAATATAGGTTAGTGGGTAAGGGGGAAATCTTGTGTGAGGAAGTTGGGAGTACAGCCTTCAAGGATGCATGAAATAAATCATAATGGTTATTGAACTATGGATGTAAGACTTTGAAGAAATTGAAGAGATTTCATTTTAATGAAGTTAAGCACAGAGTGAGACAATTGTATGCCTCTGGATTGCAGTCCACAGGGAAAGACCACAGTGTGGAAGAAAGCAAAGCACAAGAAAAAAAAAATTCCAAAAGTAGCAAGAGTCTAAGAAATATCGAGAAATCAACATTTGGAATATCCCAAGAGGTTTCACGCATGAACACTTTTATGTTGGGATAGGATCATGGGACATAGTTCAGAAATGAGTAGAGGATATTTCCAAGAAATAGAACATTCCAAAGAATTATCTTAGTTGAGTTAATTGAACTTTCATTCCATCTGGAGTTGACTGAAATGATCTTGAATCCCCCAAGTGAATCCAATGAAGTAGACAAGGAATAGTATCTCCAGTTCTAATGACTCCTCATTGCTGAAGTTGCCCTTGGACCAGGTGTGCAGGTAAATTATCGTGCCCAGTTCACTCTCCCAGTCATGTGTCTGCAACTCTTCCTGCCAACCTGAGCCTTGATTTTGTGCCCAGGATTGGTTGGCAAAGGATGAGATCTGGATGACATGGAATGAGATGTGTCCCTGGCCTGCTATGGATGGTAGAAAGTCAAGCAGTGTAAGAGGGAAAAGAGAGGCAAGCAGAATAGAGAGGAGATGGAAAGTGAACCAGTTATCATAGGAAAAGCTATAATGACTAGCTTAGCTACAACGTTTTATTTACACGGAACCCCATTCTCTGTTACTGTCCTTCAAAAGAGAAAACTTGACCT